AAAATCGTTATTTCAAATCATCCGGAACCAAAATCTATTTGACTTCCCCTGATGGAAAAAAAACCGTGCGCATGTCTGATTTGAATCATCCAACACAATATTCAAAGTCAAAAGTGGCCAATGAACTAAGCAATCAAGGCCGTAAAACATTTCTTACATAAAAAATCAAACACAGTCAGTTTATTCAGAGAAATTGTGTGCTTTACAATGGCAGGAGACCATTCAAATTCGTTTTTTGGTAATAAAAAATGTGCGTTCCGTGCAAGTCTAAGTAAGATGATTCTTTAATTTAATTATTCTAATAAAATTCTATTCTTCAGTGATTTATGCAGGAATTGTAATCGAAAAGTTTATGATTAAAGTAAATGTCCGTTTAATTTCTATAAAAATAGGATCAATCCTAATATTCTTTGTAATATTGACCGGAGTTTCTGATGTTTCTGCTGGTATATTGGAGTTTTTCGGGTTATCACCTTCAATTCCGTCTCTTCAACATGCTCCTGGTCAAAACTCATTGATTTATTTTCGTAAAAATAGTAGCGAAACTATAATCCCCTATACTGATAGCATCAAAAACTTCTTCAACGGTAAATTCTTTATACGGTTCTTCAAATATTTCCAAATTATTTAAATTGTCAATTGTTTCAATAGATTATAGTGGTTTGAATGAAAAATATGAAAAAAATATTGACCACGAATGTAGTCGGTTATTTAGTCGTCCTAAAAATGGTAAATTTTGTCCATTTAAACTTGAATACTTGGAAAACTGTTCGCCAACAAAGACTGATGGAAATTTTGGTTATGATATTTCAAAACCGTGCATATTTTTAACCTTAAATGAGGTAGGTGCGGCAATTTCATTCCTGTACTGCATAATGAATAGCATTTACTCATTACATTTAGGTAAAAGATTGGACTCCGCAAGTTTTCAATGAAACGGATATCAACCAAATTACCGACGATAATTTACGAGCTAAATATGCTAAAATGCCAGATTTTCTTAAAGAGGCAATTGCAAATGTTCGAGACCCCCTCGATGTTCGTGGATATTCATGAAATTTGTATTATAAAGTGTAACTTTTTTCTAATAAAATATATTTTTAGCGAAACTTAATTTGGGTGTCATGTGAGGGAGCTTCTCCACAGGATGTAGAAAATATTGGACCAGTGCTTTATTCACCATTACGAGGTTTTCCGGCGTCTTATTTCCCATACAAAAATGTTGAAGGTTATCAATCACCAATTGTTGCCGTACAATTGGAAAGACCAAGACGTAAGCTAAAGAAACGAACGAAACCTTCGATTCGAAAGAAAAATCAAATGTTATAAATCTTTTCAATTTTCTTTTAAATAGCTGGTGTAATGATAACGGTGGAGTGTAAGATCTGGGCCAAAAATCTTGATGAAACAAAATCACACACTTTTGAAATATTGATTGATTCATAGACACATTGATTTTCAATCAATTCGATCAGTAATTTGAATAAAATTCTAATTTCATTCATATTCAATTGTTTCCGGATTTCGTTTTTTTACACAAAAATACAAAGTATTATTTAACTTTTATTAAGATCTTTATTTGTGTATTAAATTTTCAAATTATATAAACAAAATTCTTCAAATATTTGATTAATTCTTAAATATTCGTTTAAAATCGCCAGATATTTGTAAAAAAATTGTTATTTTTTCTCAAAAAATGATAAAGCAAAAGTGAAATATTCACACCCATTTTGCCAACCAAACAAATTGACATTAAAAAAAACTGAAGTAAGTTAGTGAACGGGAGATCCGAGAGTGAGAGAGAGTGACAGCACTCAGTTTAAGTACTTTATCTTTGCGAAAAAGTTTTTTTGGCGAGTCTTTTCACCAGAGTATTAAACTCTAGTCGTGTTTGATCAGGAGTTGCACATCCCTTGGCCCCCTTTAAAGTGGCTTCTAATGCATTCAGACGAGCGCTTTTCGCAGAAAGTTCGCGACGTAATTTTGCATTCTCAACCGCTAATTCGTTGCTTCGTTTCTTTGTTGACTCCAAATGGGCTTCCAAAAATTTTATTTTATATTTTTGACCCGTTGAAGGACCATTGCCGGCGGCCATCGCTTTACATTTATCCTAAACGTTCATAATATTTAAAAGAAATTGAAATTATTCGTTAATTCAACGATTTTCTATTTAGTTATTGAAATCTTACCTTTATATCTTGTACGAATTGTGTATGTAAGTTACGTGATGTTTGCAGTTCTTTAGCTACAGCAATTTTCAATTCGTTCAAATCCTTTTGAGATTGTTCACGGTGTTCTTTACTTACTCTAATGTTAATCAAAAGAAAAAAAATGATCGACATTTACAACTTGATTTATATATTGATCGTTATGGAAAACGATGAAAACATTCAATGGACTTCAATTAATTCGAAGCCGACGGGAACACGAAATTCGTTCGAATAACCGATAGATTCAAATTA